ATTACTTTGCCAAATCTTCGCCAATTTCGATAGATGAAGACATTTTGGTTTTGGTTTGTTCTCTAGATTGAAATCGTTACATTCAAGCAAAACCAAACTAAATTTTTAACTTGAGTCTTAAGGATTTATACTCAAGCGTTTGTGAATGACAATCTTAAAAAAAGAAATCTCAAAGGGGGATAATTATTTTTAACTTGGAACCTTAAAATTTTATGTTAAAGCGATTGTGGATGACAAGCTTAGTAAGAAGAGATCCCAAGAAGGTAAATTGTTTCGATAGACTTAGAAGATGTGTTGTTCAACTACGCTGAAAGGGAATATTTTTACAAAATTACAATTGCCTGACATGAAAAAAAAGAAATGGGTGTCGACTTCCTGTGGTAATCGATGCATAGATAATTTGCACACGAGCACACAAAATATGGGGCTAGAATGCGGTCAATTCTATGTGGAATTTTTCGAAATTTCACCTGTGCGGCCGTGCGCCTGATTCTAATTTGTGGCCCAATTTAAGTACGGAGCACCGCTCCGTAATACCAAATAGGTGCGACGTGCTCCAGTAACTAGAGAAGACGACGGCGATCGATGGGTGTCCCCGGTGTCGCAGGTTCGCGCATGTGCGGTGCGTGCCTCAAATGCTGAGTACACAAAGTTTTTTCGACGCTGGCAAAAAATGTTTGCCAATTAAATGTTTGTTTGAGAAACGTCAAACAAGCGCGAGGGTAGCCAATTTATGGCTAATAAATTATCGACACTAATTGATGTCCAGGCAACAATTGATTGACAGCGATTGACAGCGACCCCCAGCGGAAATAGATGAGTCTCTTCCCCAAGAAGAAAGTGAACAAGGGTCCAGTTGGATTCACGCATTCTGACACGTCTCTTGCCAGCTACTGATATTGACCTTCTTTAAAGCGCGTAGACTTCGGACTCGGACTCGGCCTGGGCGAGTGCACTAATTGAAAGAAAAGCTCGTTCGGGCATTAACATGCAACGCGGGGGCAACGGGCCTGAAAGGCGACACACATTGACATGCCGCAACATGCGCCTTATCTAGAGGCAGCCATCGGAGCTGTGGAGCTAGGTAGCTGGGTTCGTGCAAAGAAATGCTTATCATTAGCAAAATTAAAATCAATGAAATTGGCCATAAAAATTCGATTGCCCCCGCGTGGGAGTCTCGCATCGAAGGTGTCTGCAAACGTGTGCCACATAATTGATGTTGATCGGGGGCAACCCATACAAAGAGACAAAAGACAGACGAGCAGCTAGAAATAGTTTAGTTTTCAGCACTTTCTAAACTCGCGAGTGGGCGGCCGACAGCCGCATTGACGGCTGGGGGTGGGTGTGGCCAATGGCTGCCATACATCATGCAGATACCATCGGCAATCTGTTCGTTTGGTTTGCCAAAAAATACAACTCAATTGAAATTCTTGGGGCAGAATGTTTGGCGAATCTGCTGCGGCTGTGGATGTCGGTGAAATAACGGTTAATCCTGGGGCAACGTGCGCGGTTTGCAGAAACCGAAACAAGACTCAGAACCCAGAACCTTTTTAGGAAGCAACTGCCCACCAGCCACGCCCACACCCGCGCCTCTTGCGGGTCAGGTGTGCAAAATTTCTAAGCGCGTTTCGAGCTTTGCTCTACTAAACGACAGGCGAGAGCGACGTGCGGCTGTCAGTTTGTCATTTAATTAAATTTAAGTGCCGCACTAGAAAGTGCGACTGCATCACGTATACGACGCATTCTCCAAGGGCTCCAGGAGGGGAGGGGGGGTTGGGTCACAGCAACGCCCACGTGTCGCCCAATTGATTTTAAAATTTGAAAAGTGCTCGTTGACATTTCCCTTGCACTTTGATTTGCATTTTAGAAAGTTACACGTGTTTCTCGTTGCATTAAGTAAAATCACAAAAAAAAAATAAAAATAAATACCAAAAGGAAAAGTCAAAGTCTGAAATTGAGCTGCCAATTTCTATGGATTTCAATAATGACCATGCCTGGCCCTGGCCTGAAACATTGACAACCCCCTTGCATGTCGCCTTATGCCATCTATTCATAATTTGATTATCATAATTCCAGTCATGTTTTTTCTGCCAGCCCCAGCCCCACACCTGACTAGATGTAGAATTTTTTGCCCGACACGTCGCCCCGTTGTCAACGGTTTTATCTCTGCACGTTTAAATGTCTGTCCCACTCTCGATCCGACTTTTCTGCTGGTTATGCTTCCTTTTGCGAGCCAGCCAAAATGCATTTCAACTGATTTTGTTGCCAAGTGCGCAAATTTCATGTAGGCATTTTAATGCACATGCGCGAAGGGCTTACAACTACTTACCAGCAATTTAGCTGCCCATCTACCAGCTTTGGTAGGCATATAAAGATATTGAATAGTAATAGGTTTTAAAGAAAATAACTATGTTCAACGCGTTGCTGCCTAACCCAATCATAGTCAGAAGCTTGTCGATTAGAAGTAAAATATAGGAAATTAAAGTTTATTGTTATTATTTTATATATTGAATGAGTTGAAAATTGATAATGTGGAGGGTTTATATATTCTTTATCAGCTGAGTTGATATATTCATGTCCGTCTGTGAGAACACGTCGAACTCTGTATATAAATACCACACGGAGATGAATTCAAGATTTTAAAATATAGGACCTTGCGCTTTGGTTTATGCACACTAGAGCATATAATATTTGAGCACTGCACATTTCACACAGATCAGACATTAGAAACCGAAGTTAATCAAGTACACATTTCCCATAGAATGCTGACATGAAAGGAAGAAGCACATCCGCTGAATAAAGTGTATGTATGATTTTGAGCTTCTGCAGCTCAGGCTCTAGCCTGGAATTAAAGTCTCCACTTCTAGCCGAACTTAAAATAATCTAAATTTCTGTCACTGCCTACTGTACGAGAACTTAATATGCATGGTGGATAGCCTGATTACTAAGAAATGTTTATTCAAAAGTAATCACGCCTTGGTACTGGGTGCCCCTTGTCAGAGATTAAACTCGAAAGATTGGCCAGAGAGCGACAAGAAGACGTGAGATTGCAGTTTTATATGTACCAAGTGGGACTTTAGGCGAGCTGCGGGAATTACAGTCAGTTATCGAAATGATCGTCGAAGGTTCAATGGCACCCCAGTGGGAAGAGAGGCAAAGGATTATGCAACAAACGAAATATCATCATCGTGCTGTGCCTGTTGTACTTGTTTTGCTTTCACAGAGCCCAAAACAAGCGCGGCTTATTAAGGCGCATTAATAATTTAGAATTGTTTGCTACCATTTCGCATAGTTTGAGTTATGACTTTGGCTACACGTACGAGTATTACGCGTCAATTATGAATTTCTAATTTAACGAGTATATTTTTTTTGTTTTTCTTTTTTTTTTTAATTTTTGTATTTTACGCCCCTTTGCCCTTTCCGGCTGTTCTATCGACATCACGTACAGTGCGCACTCAGCAAAAAGCGAAAGCTGCTGAGGCCAATGGCATCGGCAACAGCGCGTTACCATAAAAAATTATCGAGTAAGTAATCGTTTTATATTTCTTTTTAATTACCAACGAGTCAATTGACTTTTTATGAATCTACCTGGCGCTAGCCAACACCCCCAAATGCAGCTGGCGGGCCTTCAAAGTGCGGCGGTGCGTTTTTTACATCTTTCTGATGTCGTTCATCTTGTTAACGTGAGTCCAGAAAGGTGCCTGGCATAATAATAAGTAAGCATCTGAGCCACTTAATGAGTAAATTTATCACAGAGTGTCTTCACTTTGCCGACACACGCCTTAGTTTGTCATGACAGATTATCACAGCTGAGTGACAGCCTGCAGGACCTTACGGGAGCGTTATTCTAGTAACATTTGTTCTAGAAATTATTCCTTTATTTTAGGCTTTCAAAATCCACAGCTATAAATTAGAACAGCAATAACATTATATGTTAAGTACCTATTTGTACTTATATAAATATTTATTCCCATATTTCCCGCCATTTCCATATTAAGTGAAGACTTAGTTGAATTCATGAAAATGCAATTATGCATGCATACATGCAAACATTCATACATTCATACATTCATATATTCACACATTCATACATTCATACTTTCATACATTCATACATGCATACATTCATAAATTCATACATTCATACATACATATATGCATACATATATACATACATGCCTACATACATACATACGTAAATTCATGCACACATGCACACATGCACACATGCATACATGCACACATACATACATGCCTGCATACGTACATATATTCATGCATGCATGCAAACATGCTTATATGCATGCATATGTGCACAAATAGCCTTAAGCAAATATTATATTTCCATATTGCAGCCTGGCTTGTGCCAAAACGATTATCTCCCTGCTCTCAAAACTGAGTTACTTCCCTAGAGAACAACAATAGAGACAAGAGACCACATTATTGCTAAGGTTTTCGAGAGGAGATGAACGAAATTCCAAGAGCTGTAATGCTGGGGGTTAGCCTTAAATATATACATATACATATACATATATACATATCAACTATTCCTTTTAACTGATTTGTGAAATGTTTAAGGTTCGTCTTAAAGAAAAAACAAATATCATTCCATTTTGCAGCCTGGATTGCTTCTAAAGTAATCTCTCCCTTTTGCTGCCATAGCTTAGGTTATTCCCTAGAGGATCACTCTACCGAAGACCATCTTATTGCTGGGTCTTTTATTCTATGCGACTCTCAGCTTTTAAATTGGATTCCACAACTTGCGTTCCACCGAGTTCCAAGTCACGTTTGCGAAGCAGAAGCGACAACAATGTAATTGTCTTTGTCTTTGTAGTTGTTGTCGCCTACATTTCTTTGCCGCACGCACCTCGAGGTGTGCGAGTGTGTGTGTGTTGGTGTTTGTTGGGTTTTCTCTACCTTTTGCATTCTTAACAAATCAAAGCGAAGAATATATAAATTGGGCGTCGCATTCGAACGTCGGTCGCAGTTAGTATTTGGAAGCCAACGGTGCCTCACAGGTGTGCGAGTGCAAGCTTTGGTCTAAACAATCTGATCTGAGAAAGAGATCTGCGTACGCTTGGATACATCAATTGGATAAGACACACACACACACACAAACAACCCACAAGGAATACTATGTGCATGAAATATTCCCGACGAAGTTGAAATTAAGTGCAAGCTATTGTGATAAAAGTGATAAAGATACAGATAAATATATATATATATTTATGTATATATATATATAGAGAGAGAGAGATATAATTGAAGAGTTTGTGCATCATGTGGAAGTTCGTCTGTCTAATGCTGCTCCTGGCCACTGGCTGTAGCGCGGGCCCGCTTGCCCAGCAACAGGTGGGTTGGATTTGGCTTGCACTTGCAACATGTGCCGCAGACGATTTCCGTTCTTAACGGATATCGAAACGGGGAACGGAAAACTGTTAATGAAATGTTCGCCTTGCCCGGGCATAGTCTGAAATTTTAATGGCAAACACGAGCGTCCCGAACGTCCATCAGTTGAGTTAGTCATTCCATAGACCAAGTTGTCTGCAGGCGCATTTGCATAAGACATTTCGCTGTTTGCTTAGTTGGTATGCCAAACGTCTAGTCTTTTAACGGCTAAATGCAGCAGATGAGTCGAACAGGTCTTTATAGGCAGCTGCAGGTAGCCTTCTTTTATGGCAACCAAACTATGATTGGCAACACTCAAGCCCAGGCGATTCCAAATAAATATATAGCAAGAATAATTAAATGTGTAATATCTTCAAATTTATGAGAATGTAAGTAGACAGATATTCCAAAAGAATATAGCAGAGGGCATAAAGGAGGCTTTTGAGAATAATTGAATGTGTAATATGTTGCAATTTGGGAAAATATAATCTATTCCAGAAATTCAAAAGAAATATAACAGGGGGCTTTACGATATAAAATAAACTTGTTTAATAGGTTTTAATTTGGGGGTATGTAAATAAGAAAGGGAGAATAATACAAATAAATAGGAATTCCAAAGAAATATAACGAAGGGAATTAAGACACAAAATAAATGTGTACTATAGGTTTATATTTGGGAGTAAAAAATAAGAGAGAGGGAATAAAAAAAGCAAAAATTGAGTATGTATTTCGTAAGCCCCCCATCCCTTAACGGTACATTACGATACCTGGCCGAAAGCTCGTCAGCTCATTGAAATGCGTGTCTCAATGAAACAAATAACCTATCGATATATGGATAAAAATATGATGTGATAACATTCGGGCGAAGCATTCGAAAGTGGATTCAATTGCAGCGTTGACCACAAAAGGTTTTCCGCGCAGGTGCGAACGCATTTGGGTGGGGGTTGTGTTCAGTTCAGTTTTCACTTAACGCCAAAAACTAGAACACAAGTGAAATTTTATCATAGCCATAGTCAAAGCTTAAGCTTTAGCTGCTGTCCGGCAATCATGTCACGTGCTTCGTTCATTTGGGATTAGCGCATGCGCAGCACGTAGTCCGTTAGCTGAATGGTCGCTGGGCTAATCGCAATGTCTTAATGCCAAACCCCCAACTCTTCTGCAGAGAAAGAATATGCCTATTGTGGCACGCGAGGACAGCGCACCGGCTGTGCAGGAATCCGACATGGAGGCGGAGGCGGAGCCGGAAATGACGGCCAGCGGCAGTGCAGCAGAAGCAGCTCCACTGGCAGGCACATTGACGCTACCGAGCAATGCCACCTCCATACGGGCGGACATAACGGACAACTTTTCGTGTGCTAACAAATCCTATGGCTACTATGCGGATGTGGAGAACGATTGCCAGATCTTCCATGTGTGCCTGCCGGTGACCTACGCGGATGGCAAGGAGAATACCTTCCGCTGGAGCTTCATTTGCCCCGAGGAGACGATATTCAGTCAGGTAAGCGAGTCGCTAGCCCGCGATGCTAGATTCTGAATGCTAAAGTCCTTTCGCAGGAATCATTCACCTGTATGCGTCGCGAGGACATGACCATTGAGTGTGAGGACAGCTCCAGGTACTACGAGCTAAACGGGAACTTTGGCTTGCCCATGGAGGAGGAGAAGGAGAACGCCAATAAGCCAGGAGCAGCAGCGGCTACAGAGAGTGAAGAGCCTGACCAACCCGAGGAAAGCGAAGTGCCTGCTCCTTCGGAGCCCGCTGCAGCCGTCGCTACGCCTGAGCCAGCGAAACCAGTGAAGGTGCAAAAGCCCAAGCCAAAGCCCAATCGCCGCAAGCCCGCCGTCACATACAACAAACCCGCCGTCGTATACAACAAGCCGCAACGAAAGGCGCCCGTTGTTGCCACAGCAGCTCCGGTTGTTGAACCCATCGTGGAATCAGAACCCGAAGTCGTTATCGTGCCTGTCCAGCAGGCGTCCAAGCATCCGAAGCCACAGCGTTTTAGCGTTCGGCCCAACAAGGATAAGCCCAAGCCGGTTGTGCCGGCAACTGCCGCGCCTGTTCGCAATGAGCTCTTCAATGCCATACGAAAGCGTCCGGCAATCTTCAACAAGAACAGCGTTTCCAGCACCGCAAAACCTGTGCAGGAGGCGACAGAGGCATCGGTCACTGAAGAAGTTGTCCAGGCGGAGCTGAATGAGCCGCAGCCCACGCTCAAATTGCAGACAATTTTTGTGGAGCCAGTTGCCCAGGCCTCCGAGCCAGTTGTGGCTATTGCACAGCCCGAGTTAGATGCTGAGCCAGAGCCAGAGGAGCCGGAAGCAGAGCCAGAACAAACCAAACTAAAGGAACCGATGGAGGAAGCTAGTCCAATGCCTGAGCAAATGCTTGAAATGAAGCCCATTGAAGCCATTCCAGAGATTCCAGCTGTGATTGTCGAGAGCTTGGCAGAAAAGCCACAAGAGATTGAGAATAAACCTCAAATGGAAGTTGTAGCCGAAGACAGTGCAATGGAGCCCGCGATTATGGAGCCTAGCGGCTCCGGTGAGGAAAGTTTGAACAATATTGAAGCGCTGGAGGCGGCAAAGCCAGCAGATGCGCCCGTCAGCCTGCCAGCTACGCCAGAAATGGCCAACCCCAGTCCCCTCGTGGAGGAGATGCTGGACAACAACAGCGAGGTACAGGAATCTCTTGGCGGCTTCAAGCCTGTCGATCCAGCCATGGCTGCGGAGGCGGAACAACTGATCACCGACTTTCTGAATACGTTGCGCAAGCACGAGAAGAAAACCGAAACTGAGCTGGCTAATGCTGCCATGGACATAGCCGAAACTGTTGAGCAGCAGCAGCCACAAAATCAAGAGATCGACTCGAACCCTGCGATTGAGGAAACCGAAGCCGTTTCCATTGAGGAGGCCAAGCTGCCCGAGCCCGACAAAGTAGATCCGATTGCATCGGTCGAGGAGCAGCTGCTGGAAACGGAGACGAAACAGAAACAGAAACCGGACTCGCCCATCATCAACATTATGCAGCTAAACCATTTGCCCGCAGACTATCAAATACCCGTGCAGGTGGTTGCCGCGCCAGAGCCAGAACCTGAAGCAGCCGAGGAATCGGCCAAAGAGACAGAAGTCAAAGAAGCAATCCAAGACGATGCCCAGGAGAGTCTGGCCTCAGCTGCCTATATGCCCGGCATCAGTATTGACGACATTGTGGAACTTGTCAAGGAACGTCTAGATCAGAATCCCAAGAATGAGCAGCTGACGCCCATGGAGCTGGTGCTCACACCAGGTGCTGCTGCTCCCATGACACTGATCGAGAGCACGGCAGAGCAAAAGCCAGAGAGAGAGCAATCTGCGCCAGCTGCAGCTCTAATTGTGGAGCCGGCGCCAGCTGCTGCAGAGGAGGATGGACCTATTCTGCCCATTTACAAGCGCGTTTCTGTCGCGGATCCGGCAATGTCCGCGGCGCAAACCCAGCCGGTGACCGTCAGCAAAGTCGAGGGTGAGGCGACACCCCAGCAGGAGGTGATTGAGGTGCGTGAGCCCAAGTCCCAGACTAGAATGGATGCACGCAAGCGTCGCTTTCTCTTTCGCGCCGATGCCAGTTAGAAGGAGTTGCCCGACTCTCCCTTCAAGCAACACCCGCCCGCAAAATTCTCCCAAAAGCGGTAGCCTAGCGGAGCCCATTTGAAACCCAGGTCCGGGCTTCCGATGCTGTTCCCACTCAATTGCAGCTTTACAGACTATTTTTTGAATTTTCTAGTTTTATGGCCATTTCTTTCGTACGAGAGTTGAAATTTAAGTTTAGCATTGTTAAAAAACAAACAAGACAAACAAACAAAAAAATTGAAAAACTTTAAATAAAAATATTAAAAAATTAAAGACAGGTATGTATGGATCTCTCATCAGTTAGCTAGCTCCATCGTGCACAGGTTTGAGTGTTTGAGTTTTTCCTAGTGGCATTCAACCTTTGAACGGTAGAGATGGCCAACTGAAAAGCGACCTAAACTAATACGGGTTGGGGCAAGCCAAAGAAAAGATGGCTGAGAATCAAATAGAATCTTATAAATATATCTAAAACAAATGTCATCAATAATACATCATCTGTTTAACATACTTTAAAATAAAGGTAATTGGTATTTTTAAATTTAAAGAGAGCCATTCCGACCTAGCCTCTTTAAGTATCAATTGTATCAGGTGGCGATCGTGGCAAGACTGACTCAGCTCTTAAATAGCGCAGAATATTACAAAAGATATAACAGGTGCCCAGGTTTAAGTTTTCTTTTTATTTATTGAAACATAAAAAAATGTACTTACCCAAAAACTGCACACACACAAATTATTTTGTTGCCACCTGTTAGAAGAAATGACACTTTATTATAACCACATTGCTAAATAAATAAAGTAAAGATAAAGTCTGAGAACGAGAGAGTTGGAGTGCAAGAAAATAAATTAAAGTGACAGTAGCAGCAGAGAAAAAGATTATTAATCTAACTAACTAACTGGGGAGGCTGGAAAGTCTTTCTTAAGTTTATGAGGATCGCATAGTAAGGCACTTTTTAAAAATGCGATATTTATTAAGTCGCACCGTAGCTACACACAGACATATACGTACTTACAAACATCCTAATACATACTCCTATATATGATATATGTAGGTCCAAATGTCCCACCCCATATATCGGTTAAATTTCATTTTCATTTTTTTATTAATGGTTTTCCTTCTAGATTTATCTTGCATTAAAATTTGAACACCTTATCTTACCCCAAGATTCTTACACAGCCATGGGTAAAAATTTACAACCACATAACTCGGTCAAATCTACACCGATACACAGCCATGGGTCAAAATGTACAACCCCATAACTCGGTCAATTCTCATCCGATTTCCACGAGATTTGTATTTTTCTGAATGGGTTTCCTTCTAGATTAATATGGCATTAAAATCTGAACACCGATTTTTTATTCAAAATTCATGTCCAAATCTTGACCCCAAGATTCGTACATAGCCTTGGGTCAAAATTTACAACCCCATAACTCGGTCAAATCTCAACCGATTTTCACGAGATTTGTATTTTTGTTAATGATTTTCCTTCTAGAATAATCTGTCATTAAAATGTGAACACCGATTTTTTAGTCAAAATTCATGTCCAAATCTTACCCCAAGATTCGTACACAGCCATGGGTCAAAATGTACAACCCCATAACTCGGTCAATTCTCATCCGATTTCCACAAGATTTGTATTTTTCTGAATGGTTTTCCTTCTAGAATAATCTGGCATTAAAATCTGAGCACCGATTTTTTATTCAAAATTCATGTCCAAATCTTGACCCCAAGATTCGTACATAGCCTTGGGTCAAAATTTACAACCCCATAACTCGGTCAAATCTCAACCGATTTTCACGAGATTTGTATTTTTGTTAATGGTTTTCCTTCTAGATTAATCTGGCATTAAAATCTGAACACCGATTTTTTAGTCAAAATTCATGTCCCAATCTTACCCCAAGATTCGTACACAGCCATGGGTCAAAATGTACAACCCCATAACTCGGTCAAATCTCAACCGATTTTCACGAGATTTGTATTTTTGTTAATGGTTTTCCTTCTAGATTAATCTGGCATTAAAATCTGAACACCGATTTTTTAGTCAAAATTCATGTCCCAATCTTACCCCAAGATTCGTACACAGCCATGGGTGAAAATTTACAACCCCATAACTCGGTCAAATCTCAACCGATTTTAACGAGATTTGAATTTTTTTAATGGGTTTCCTTCTAGATTAATCTGGCGCTAAAATCTGAACACCGATTTTTTAGTCAAAATTCATGTCCATATCTTACCCCAAGATTCGTACACAGCCATGGGTCAAAATGTACAACCCCATAACTCGGTCAAATCTCAACTGATTTTAACGAGATTTGCATTTTTTTTAATGGTTTTCCTTCTAGATTAATCTGGCGTTAAAATCTGAACACCGATTTTTTAGTCAAAATTCATGTCCAAATCTTACCCAAGATTCGTACACAGCCATGGGTCAAAATTTACAACCCCATAATTCGGGCAAATCTCAACCGATTTTCACGAGATTTGTATTTTTTTAATGGTTTTCCTTCTAGATTAATCTGGCGTTAAAATCTGAGCACCGATTTTTTAGTCAAAATTCATGTCCAAATCTTACCCCAAGATTCGTACACAGCCATGGGTCAAAATGTACAACCACATAACTCGGTCAAATCTCAACCGATTTTCACGAGATTTGTATTTTTGTTAATGGTTTTCCTTCTAGATTAATCTGGCATTAAAACATGAACACCGATTTTTTAGTCAAAATTCATGTCCAAATCTTACCCCAAGATTCGTACATAGCCTTGGGTGAAAATTTACAACCCCATAACTCGGTCAAATCTCAACCGATTTTAACGAGATTTGAATTTTTTTTAATGGTTTTCCTTCTAGATTAATCTGGCGCTAAAATCTGAACACCGATTTTTTATTCAAAATTCATGTCCAAATCTTACCCCAAGATTCGTACACAGCCATGGGTCAAAATGTACAACCCCATAACTCGGTCAAATCTCAACTGATTTTAACGAGATTTGCATTTTTTTTAATGGTTTTCCTTCTAGATTAATCTGGCGTTAAAATCTGAACACCGATTTTTTAGTCAAAATTCATGTCCAAATCTTACCCAAGATTCGTACACAGCCATGGGTCAAAATTTACAACCCCCTAATTCGGGCAAATCTCAACCGATTTTCACGAGATTTGTATTTTTATTAATGGTTTTCCTTCTAGATTAATCTGGCATTAAAATCTGAACACCGATTTTTTAGTCAAAATTCATGTCCAAATCTTACCCCAAGATTCGTACATAGCCTTGGGTCAAAATTTACAACCCCATAACTCAGTCAAATCTTAACCGATTGTCACGTGATTTGTATTTTTATTAATGGTTTTCCTTCTAGATTAATCTGGCATTAAAATCTGAACACCGATTTTTTAGTCAAAATTCATGTCCAAATCTTACCCCAAGATTCGTACACAGCCATGGGTCAAAATTTACAACCCCATAATTCGGGCAAATCTCAACCGATTTTCACGAGATTTGTATTTTTATTAATGGTTTTCCTTCTAGATTAATCTGGCATTAAAATCTGAACACCGATTTTTTAGTCAAAATTCATGTCCAAATCTTACCCCAAGATTCGTACACATGGGTCAAAATGTACAACCCCATAACTCGGTCAAATCTCAACCGATTTTCACGAGATTTGTATTTTTGTTAATGGTTTTCCTTCTAGATTAATCTGGCATTAAAATCTGAACACCGATTTTTTAGTCAAAATTCATGTCCAAATCTTACCCCAAGATTCGTACATAGCCTTGGGTCAAAATTTACAACCCCATAACTCGGTCAAATCTTAACCGATTGTCACGTGATTTGTATTTTTATTAATGGTTTTCCTTCTAGATTAATCTGGCATTAAAATCTGAACACCGATTTTTTAGTCAAAATTCATGTCCAAATCTTACCCCAAGATTCGTACACAGCCATGAGTCAAAATTTACAACCCCATAACTCGGTCAAATCTCAACCGATTTTCACGAGATTTGTATTTTTATTAATGGTTTTCCTTCTAGATTAATCTGGCATTAAAATCTGAACACCGATTTTTTAGTCATAATTCATGTCCAAATCTTACCCCAAGATTCGTACACAGCCATGGGTCAAAATGTACAACCCCATAACTCGGTCAAATCTCAGCCGATTTTCACGAGATTTGTATTTTTGTTAATGGTTTTCCTTCTAGATTAGTCTGGCATTAAAATCTGAACACCGATTTTTTAGTCGAAATTCATGTCCAAATCTTACCCCAAGATTCGTACATAGCCTTGGGTGAAAATTTACAACCCCATAACTCGGTCAAATCTCAACCGATTTTAACATGATTTGATTTTTTTTAATGGTTTTCCTTCTAGATTAATCTGGCGCTAAAATCTGAACACCGATTTTTTAGTCAAAATTCATGTCCAAATCTTACCCCAAGATTCGTACACAGCCATGGGTCAAAATGTACAACCCCATAACTCGGTCAAATCTCAACTGATTTTAACGAGATTTGCATTTTTTTTAATGGTTTTCCTTCTAGATTAATCTGGCGTTAAAATCTGAACACCGATTTTTTAGTCAAAATTCATGTCCAAATCTTACCCCAAGATTCGTACACAGCCATGGGTCAAAATTTACAACCCCATAATTTGGGCAAATCTCAACCGATTTTCACGAGATTTGTATTTTTATTAATGGTTTTCCTTCTAGATTAATCTGGCATTAATACCTGAACACCGATTTTTTAGTCAAAATTCATGTCCAAATCTTACCCCAAGATTCGTACATAGCCTTGGGTCAAAATGTACAACCCCATAACTCGGTCAAATCTCAACCGATTTTCACGAGATTTGTATTTTTGTTAATGGTTTTCCTTCTAGATTAATCTGGCATTAAAATCTGAACACCGATTTTTTAGTCAAAATTCATGTCCAAATCTTACCCCAAGATTCGTACATAGCCTTGGGTCAAAATTTACAACCCCATAATTCGGGCAAATCTCAACCGATTTTCACGAGATTTGTATTTTTATTAATGGTTTTCCTTCTAGATTAATCTGGCATTAATATCTGAACACCGATTTTTTAGTCAAAATTCATGTCCAAATCTTACCCCAAGATTCGTACACATGGGTCAAAATGTACAACCCCATAACTCGGTCAAATCTCAACCGATTTTCACGAGATTTGTATTTTTGTTAATGGTTTTCCTTCTAGATTAATCTGG